TTCTATATATAAAGTCATATTATCTGCAAATAGTGACAGTTTCACTTCTTCCTTTCCAATTTGGATCCCTTTTGTTTCTTCTTCTTGCCTGATTGATCTCGCTTCCAATAAGAGTGGTAAAAGTGGGCATCCTTGTCTTGTGCCTGTTCTTAAAGGAGTAGTTTTCAGTTTTTCTCTGTTGAATATGATCTTGTCTGTGGGTTTGTCATATATGGCCTCTATTATGGTGAGGTACTTTCTTTCTAGACCCATTTTATTCAGAGTTCTTATCATAAATGGATACTGTATCTTGTCAAATGCTTTCTCTGCATCTATTGAGATGATCATGTGATTTTTATTCTTCATTTTGTTAATGTGGTGTATCACATTGATTGATTTGCAGATGTTGAACCATCCCTGCATCCCTGGAATAAATCCCACTTGATCACGGTGGATGATCTTTTTAATGTATTATTGTATTCGAATTCCTAGTATTTTGTTGAAGATGTTTGCATTGATGTTCATCAGTGATATCGGCCTGTAATTTTCTTTTTTTGTGTTGTCCTTGTCTGGTCTTGGTATCAGTATCATGTTGGCCTTGTAGAATGAGTTAGGAAGCCTCCCCTCCTCTTCAATTTTTTGCAAGAGTTTGAGAAGGATAGGTATTAAGTCTTTGAATGTGTGGTAGAATTCACCAGGGAAGCTGTCTGTTCCTGGACTTTTATTTTTCAGAAGGTTTTAGATTACTGTTTCGATCTCCTTACCGGTGATTGGTCTATTCAAATTCTCTATTTCTTCTTGATTCAGTTTTTAAAGGTTGTATGATTCTAAGAATTTATCCATTTCTTCTAGATTATCCAATTCGTTGGCGTATAGCTTTTCATAGTATTTTCTTATAACCTTTTGTATTTCTGAGGTATCTGTTGTAATTTCTACTCTTTCATTTCTGATTTTGTTTATTTGAGCCTTCTCTGTTTTTTTCTTGGTGAGCCTAGCTAAGGGTTTGTCAATTTTGTTTATCTTTTCAAAGAACCAGCTCTTAGTTTCATTGATTTTTTTCTATTGTTTTTAAGTCTCTATTTCATTTATTTCTGCTCTGATTTTTATTATTTCCTTTTTCTACTGATTTTGGGCTTTGCTCTTCTTTTTCCAGTTCCTTTAGGTGCACTGTTAGATTGTTTATTTGAGATTTTTCGTGTTCGTTGAGGTAAGCGGGTATTGCTATAAACTTACCTCTTGGAATGGCTTTTGCTACATCCCATAAATTTTGACATGTTGTATTTTCATTTTCATTTATCTCCAGGTATTTTTTGATTTCTCCTTTGATTTCTTCATTGACCCAATTGTTGTTCAGTAGCATTTTGTTTCATCTCCACATATTTGTGTCTTTTCCAACATTCTTCCTCTAGTTGATTTCTAGTTTCATATCTTTGTGGTCAGAAAAGATGCTTGGTATTACTTGAATCTTCTTAAATTTATTGAGACTTGTTTTGTGGCCTCATATGTGATCAGTCCTGGAGGATGTTCCATGTGCATTTGAAAAGAATGTGTATTCTGCAGTTTTTAGATGGAATGTTCTGTATATATCTACTAAGTTATCTGGTCTAATGTGTCATTTAAGGCCAATATTTCCTTATTGATCTTCTGTTTGGATGATCTATTCATTGATGTAAGTGGAGTGTTAAAGTCCCCTGCTGTGTCACTGTCTTTTTCTCTTTTTATGTCTGTTAATAATTGCTTAATATAGTAGGTGCTCCTATGTTGGGTGCATAGATGTTTGCAAGTGTTACATCCTCTTGTTGGATTGTTACCTCTATCATTATGTAGTGCCCTTCTTTGTCTCTTGTTACAGTTTTTGTTTTAAAGTCTATTTTGTCTGATGTAAGTGTTCCTACCCCAGCTTTCTTTTCTTTGCCATTTGCATGGAGTATCTTTTTCCATCCCTCCACTTTCAGTTTCTGTCTTTAGTCTGACATGTGTCTCTTGTATGCAGCATATATATGGGTCTTGTTTTTTATCCAATCAGCCACCCTATGTCTTTTGATTGGAGCATTTAGTCCATTGACATTTCATGTAGCTATTGATAAGTATGTACTTATTGCTATTTTGTTACCTTTTTTGGGGGTGTTTTAATAGTTCTTCTCTGTTCCTTTCTTCTTCTCTTGGTCTGTTCCCTTGTGGTTTGATGGTTTTCTTTAGTATTATGTTTGGGTTCCTTTCTCTTAATTTTCTGTGTATTTATGATAGGTTTCTGGTTTGTGATTACCATGAGGTTCAGATATAATAAGCTACATATATAGCACTCTATATTAAGTTGATGGTCTCTTAGGTTTGACTTCTTGCTAAAAGCTCTACTCTTTTACTCCCCTCCTCCCACATTTTATGTTTTTGATATTGTATTTAACCTCTTTGTGTGTGTGTGTGTATCTGTTACTCTCTTATCATGGAAATAGATAATAGAAATAAGTACTTTTGTATTTTGACCTTCATATTAGTTTCATAGGTTGTTGATCTGCTACCTTTACTATATATTTGCCTTTACCAGTGATTTTATTGTTTCTGGTTTTCTGGAGGTTTTTTTTTTATATATATAATTTTCTTATTCCTATTTGTGGTCTTTTCTTTTCCATTTAAATAAGTCCCTTTAGCATTTCTTGTAAGACTGGTTTCTTGGTGATAAACTCCTTTAGTTTTTGCTTGTCTGGAAAACTCTTTATCTCTCCTTCCATTCTGAATCATAACCTTACTAGATAGAGTATTCCTGGCTCTGGGTTTTTTCCTTTTAGCACCTTAAATATCTTGTGCTGCCCCCTTCTAGCCTGTAAGATTCCTGCTGAGAAGTCATAGCAGAAGTCATTGGCTTATGAGGTTTCCTTGTATGTAACTTGTTGCCTTTCTCTTTCAGCTAATAGGATTCTCTCTTTATCAATTCTTGTCATTTTAATTATAATGTGTCTTGGTGTGGGCCTTTTTGGGTTTACTTTGTTTGGTGCTCTTTATGCTTCCTGTACCTGGATGTCTGTTTTCTTCCTTAGGTTAGGAAATTTTTCAGCTATTATTTCTTCAAATAGACTCTCTGCCCCCTTATCTCTCTCTTCTTCTTCTGGGACACCTGTTATATGGATGTTAGTGTGCATGATGTTGTCCCAGAGGTCCCTGAGACTGTCCTTGTTCTTTTTAATTCTTTTTTTTTTTTTTTTTTTTGGAGCAAGATCAGTCCTGAGCTAACATCTGCCGCCAATCCTTCTGTTTTTGCTGAGGAAGACTGGCCCTGAGCTAACATCCGAGCCCATCTTCCTCTACTTTATACATGGGATGCCTACCACAGCATGGCTTTGCAAAGCGGTGCCATGTCCGCACCCGGGATCCAAACCGGTGAACCCCGGGCCGCCTGAAGCAGAATGTGCGCACTTAACCGCTGCGCCACCAGGCTGGCCCCTAATTCTTTTTTCTTTTATCTGTTCAGCTTGGGTGATTTCCTCTAGTCTTTTGTCCAGCTTGCTGATCTGTTCTTCTGTATCTTCTACTCTGCTATTGAGTCCCTCTAGTGACTTTTTCATTTCCATTATTATATTCTTCATTTCTGATTGGTTCCTTTTTATGTTTTCCAATTTTTTGTTGAAGTTCTCACTGAATTCATCCATTCTTCTCCGGAGATCAGTGAGCATCCTTATGACTATTAGTTTGTACTCTTTATCAGGTAGATCATTTATCTCTGTTTCATTTAGTTCTTTTTCTGAAGATTTGTCCTGTTCCCTTTTCTTGGAACATATTCCTTTGTTTCCTCATTTGCCTCTTTCTCTGTGTTTATATCTATGTATTAAGTATGACAGCTACATCTCCCAATCTTGGAGAGGTGACCTTATGTAAGAGATGCCTGATAAGTCCCAGCAGTGTGCTTCCCTCTCATCACCAGTTCCAAATTTTCCAGGACTGTCCCCTGTGTGGGCTACATGTGTGCGTGTGTCCTTCTGTTGTGGCAGGGTTGCTCTTGCTGCAGGTGCAGGGGGAGGCTAGGCTGTTCCCCTGGCTGGCTGATTGTAATGCTCAGCTGCGTGTGACTGCTGTGGATCCTACAGTCACTTTATCAGGCATGGGGAGCCCAAGCACAGTTGGCGCAAAGTCTTATAGCATGTTCCTGCTGTAGTTTTTCTGTTAAGTGAGTAGGCCTCCAGTGTGGCTGATTTCTAGGCTCGGGGGGCCTACAAGGCTGTTATCAGCTCTCTCAGGATTTCAGCTGGGTGGGGCTGGCCTTCAGGTGTTGGAGGGTGGGGCTGATCCCCTGTGTGGCTGTTTGGGAAGCACAGGTCTGCTGCAGCTGACCACCCCCACCACCCACAGGCCTGCATACCTCATCAACATAGTCCTGCCGCATCCACATGCCCCAACCCACAGAAGCAGTCCCACTTACTCCACTGCAGAGGCCCCACACACTCTGCCAACACAGCCCCACCACTTGCTCATGGCTTGCTCCCCAGAGGCAGACCCACTCACCTGGCTACAGAGGTCCCATACACCCTGTGTATGCAGGCCCACACATTGCCCGAGGGCTTGCTGTTGGGCGGAGCCAGTCCCTAGGGTGGGCTGCCTGCCCTAGCTGAGCTGGATTAAATCAGTGCTCTAGTGGGTGGGGCAGACCCCTGCACTAATAGGCCAGGGGAAGAACTCCAGTGGTGTCTGCCAGCATCTGTGTCAGCATACCTGTACTAAGGAGGTCTCACCTCTCACTGAGATGTGCCCAGAGCCCATCAAGTGAGTCTCTTTTCACCAAAGGACTGTGTACCTTTTTGGTGACTTTAGGTTGCTTTCCGAAATGGGTGAATTTGTGCGTGGGGCCTTTGAAAGCAGACTTTTCTTTCTCTTATGTTTGATAGCTTTTCTCGGGGTATTCCCATTGTTGCTAATAGCCAGCAAAGCCGGATATTATGACATTTGTCTTGGTTGTGCTGAGTCCAAAAGCTGCTTACTGTGGTGAAGCTCTCCCACTCAGATCCCCCATTCCCCCAGGGAAGGCTTTGTACCTTAAGATTGCTCCTGGCCAGGAAGCACCACGACTAGAATGTGGCTTTTTCTTCTGCAGAAAGGAATTTCTGCCTCTTCCACCTCAGTCAGCACTGTTGAGAGTTTGTGGGGTTCTTTTTACCCAGCTTTCAGTTCTCTCTCAGGGGCCATTATTACAAGAGGAGTTGTAAATTTGTTGTGTCCTTGGGAGGAGGTGAGTTCAGAGTCCTCCTACACCGCCAGCTTCCCAGCAATCCAAGCTCTGCCCTTAAAAAAGAATTGTTTTAATTGAGGTGAAATTCACATAATATAAAATGAACCATTTTAGAGTGACTAACTAAGTAGCATTTAGCACATTCACAATGTTGTGTAACCATCACCTCTATCTAGTTCCAAAACATTTTCATCACCTCAAAGGAGACCCCCTACCCATTAGCTATCACTCCCCATTCCCCTTCCCTCCAGCCCCTGAAAACCACCAATCTGCATTCTGTCTCTATGCACTTCCCTATTCTGGACATTTCATATACGTGGAATTATACAATATGTGTCATTTGGCGTCTAGCTTCTTTGATTCAGCATAAAGTTTTTGAGGTATATCCAGGAGGTAACACATGTCAGTACTTCATTCCTTTTCATGGCTAAATGATATTCCATTATTTGGACATACCACATTTTTTACCCATTATCCATAGATGGACATTTGGGTTGTTCCCACCTTTGGCCTATTAAGCTATGCCTTCTTGACTGTGGGGGTGCTCTGCATTGGTGTTCCTTACATGCTCTGTGGGCAGGATGACCTGGCCCCAGATGGTCACACCACATCACCCATTGAATGGCTACCAGTAGACCCTTAGAGAGAGCAAACTTTAATGGCCTTTTCTCCCCTTGAAGCTGCAGGATTTGTTTCTTTTTTTTCATATCAAGATAAATGCCCACAGGGGCCGGCCCAGTGGTGTAGTGGTTAAGTTCACGTGCTCCGCTCCAGTGGCCTGGGTGTCACAGGTTCAGAACCCAGGTGTGGAGCTAGCACCACTCATCAAGCCATGCTGTGGCGGTGTCCCACATACAAAATAGAGGAAGATTAGCATAGATGTTAGCTCAGGGCCAATGTTCCTCACAAAACACTTTTTTAAAAAAGATAAACGCCCAGAGTTTCCTTGGCATCTCCCCAAGAGTGAGAGGGGAAACAAGGCAGGTCTTTCCAGTGCCTGTCTCAGGTTACTTCCTCCAGCCTGGTAATTGGCATCGTTGCAAGTGAGGCCTGCCTCTGTGTCCCCAGCTTCCCCTCGGGACCAGGGCTGTCATTTGCAGACAGCCCCACAGGGACCCTGGCTGGCTCTGCCTGTCTTTCTTCAGCTGCCCTCTCTGTTGAGCAAAGTTTCCAAGTTTTTGCTGCATGTCCTGTGTCCGTGCAGCTGGCAGCAAGAGAAGGCCCGTCCCACTTCCTCCCTCCAGGCCCTCCACCCGTCCTGCCCATATTTTCATGCTTGTGCAGGGTGACGGACTCCCGGTGGCAAGTGCTGGGAAACCAGCTCAACTAGCAGAAAAGAGACTGGCATCATGTCCTGTGTAGCTGGGACACGCCGTCTGGTCGGCCCTGGCTTCAAGCAGGGACCAGGGACGCCGGGAAATCACTGGCCTCCCTGGCTGCTCAGGCCGTGTTCTCATGCTCGGCAGGACCTCACCCCCACCCTGTGGAGTTGGGGAAGGTAGCTTTTCACAGCACCAGGCTGGCGACATCCTGGCTCAGAAACCCCAGCCACATCAGGGAGGCCTGTCTCCTGGGGCCGACAGGAGTCCTGAGGAAGGATTTTGTTGACCCTGCTCAGGACACAGGTGCATGGCTAGACCCTAGGATAGCACGAAGGCCAGGCTGGGTGGGCGCCCCTCCTGTGGCCTGGGGCAGGAAACGGGCAGCCTGACAAATGGGCCTCCCAGGGCCCGGCCTGTGCTGGATGCTGGCATGTGTGTTTATTCCCCTTCAAAACCTGGATATCAAAAGCCACTCATAGTCACTGCGCTCACCTGTAAGCCTTGTCTTTCTTGCCCATTGATTCCCGCGCCTAGACTGGAGTCTGATACACATAGCGAGTTACTTAGATATAGGTTGAACGAGGACTGAAAAGGCACCGTGATCCATCTGTTTCTGCAAAATGTAGGATTGTCCCCTCGAGTGAAGACTGGTCCCCTTCTCTGAGGCTGTCAGGTGCCGCTTCTGTGGAATTCATTCTGAAGTGAATTTTTTAAAGGAAGCAGAAGAAAAGCCTTGTTTTTTTTCTTTTTCAGTTTAATTTCCAGGAAGGTGTTGAAATCTGCAGTGGGTGAAAGGATACATTCTGAATTCGCTTTAGAAAAATTATCATAAAAGGAAAAGTCAGCATCTTTAAAATCAAGGCTTCCTAAAAAACAGATCACGTGCTTGGGTGGGTTGTGAGAGCTACGATTCTGATTTTCTTGGGAAGAGGCGACCAGGAGAGGACAGGGGAAAGGCTCCAAGAGAACCTGCTCCCGCCAGGCAGCGAGGGGGCCTGCGCCTTTGGAGGCCTGGCTGCAGGTGCACTAGATGTGCAATGGGGACACATCTCTGAGGATTTATTGAGCACCTCCTGTATTCCGGGGCCTGTGCTGTGCTCCAGGGAGGCGATGGGGAGCCACCACCACAGTGCACGCCCTCTTGGAATTTACAATCTGGCTGAGGAGACAATCCCAAGGTTGTAAAGTTTACAACTCTGAAGAGTGCTACAAAGAGGGGTACATGGTACTCTGGGAGGGTCGGTGGGGGGAGGGACCAGCTTCAGGTAGAAGAAGGTCAGGGAAAGCTTCCCTTAAGGGGTGAAGCTTGGACTGGACCTTGATGTCTGGGTTGCAGGTCAGTAGGTGGAGTGTTCAGGCAGTGGGAATAGCATGTGCAAAGGCCCTGGGATGAGAGCTTGGTTTCCCTGAGGGACTGAGGAAGGTCAGAGAAGGCAGTGGGCTAGAGAGGTGTGGGTGAGCCTGGGGAGGTAGGCAGGGTCTGGTGACCGTGGTGATGACTTTAGCCTTATCCGAGTGGCAACGGAAAGCTAGGAGAGTGTTTTAAGCAAGGGGGTGGGACCCGCTGTGTTGTACAAGGCCCTCCGGAGGGGCTGCAATGGCAGAAAGCCATTCTGGGGGTGACTCCGTTTCCCCTCCCTCCTTGACTTCTTCCCTCTATTAGACTTCAGCCACACTTGCCAGTCTCTAAACCGGTCCTATTTTGTCCTGCTAGCGGGACAGCCTGCAGTCAGCTCATGCAGTCCTCTGCATGTGGGATTGGTAGTGTCCCTTTTATGCAGCTGTCTTTCCAGACCTGCAGAAACACCAGCCTCCTCCACCAAGCCCTTTTCTGCCGGTGCCTTGCCCCAGGCAGCCTCCCCTGTGGGAGCAGGTCTCCCATCTCCCCACTATCAGAGATGTTTGTTATTTTTGTTGTCCCTGCTCCCTCCCAGCTATGTGACCTTCCATCAAGTGCCCCGCCTCTCAGGCCTCAGTTTCCCCAGCTACAGAACGGAGACAATTTCTGCTGCAAAAGGTGGCTGTCAGGATTGAATGAGCTAGCCTGTGTGAAATGCCCAGAGCTCAGCACAGGACCCAGAAGAACTCCAGAAATGCGCCCGATTAGCACTGGGCCGACAGCGTGTGCCTGGGGCACCGAAACGTTTTTGGCAAGAATGTGCTGTTTCAAAATAGCCATTGTAGATGGTCATCATGAGAAAAGTCAGGACTCTATTGGACTTCCTTATCTAATGTTTAGGGCTGTTTTTATTTATAGTGACATCCCAGTGCTTAGAGCTGCTACGGGACCCCACGGGGCTGTAGGGTTGTAGGTCCTCTGTGGTCATCTTGCCTGTCCCCTCATCTCTCAGAAAGGACCCTGGACTCAGAGAGCGTGGCCAGGGGTGGGGGTCTTTCCAGGCCAGCCAGATTGCAGACAGCTGGGCAGCACCCTCGTCTCCTGGTCCTCCCACCTCAGAGTGGGCGCATCGGCCCCACCTCCTTCCCTCGGCCTGGGTGTTCCCTATGGCGGGCCTGGCTGAGGACATGGCTCGTGTGAAGCGGACAGTCAGCGGTGCCTGCACAAAAGTGCGTTTCTACTCTCTCTCTCTCTGCTGAACACCCTGAATAGGTGTTCAGGCCCTTGAAAAGGGGATCAGTCACCCAGTTTGGGGGAGCCACTGGTGCAGGGGAGATATGGCTTCCCACTCTTGTGGACGCACCAGGTCCCAGAAGAATTCTGTGGCAGGTCTTGAGCCAAGGGATTCCCCTAGCCAGCGTGACCTCACTGACCTCACGGGAAGACCCTGGGAGAGCCTTGCTCACCCCAGAGTTTATGTAACACCATCTTTCCCAACCACCCTCAAAGCTGCCCTGTGACATAAGCAAATGTGCGCCAGCGTCTGCCCAAGGCTGGCCTGGGAGTGTTTACCGAGCACCTGCTCTGGGCCAGGTGCTTGCACACATCATCCACTGAATCATGTGGACCGTCCTGCAAGGTAGCGCTTGCCACTGCATTTTTTAAAATCGAGACATAATTCACATACCATCAAATGCATCATGTGAATATGTATAATTCACTGAGTTTTAGTATATTCACAAGATGGCGCAACCATCACCACTATCTAATTCAAAAACATTTTCATCACCCCAGAAGAAATCCCATACCCATTAGCTGTCACTCCCCATCCCCAGGCAACCACTAATCTACCGTCTGTCTTTATGCATTTACCTCTTCTGTACATTTTATATAAACAGAATAATGCAATATGCAGCCTTTTGCGACTGGCTTCTTTCACTTAACATAATGCCTTTGAGGTCCATCCTCATTGTAGCATCCATCAGTACCTCATTCCTTTTTAGGGCCGAATAATATTCTACTGTATGGATGTACCATAATTTTTTTATTCATGTTGATGGACATTTGAGTTGCTTTCACTTTTTGGCTACTGTAAATAAATGAACATTTGTGTGCAAGTTTTTGTGTAAATGCGTTTTCAATTCTCTTGCGTATGTACCCAGGCACAGAACAGCTGGGTCTATGACATCTCCCTGCTTAATCGTTTGAGGAGCTGCTGGACTGTCTTCCTGAGTGGTGGCACCATTTGGCGTGCCCCTAGCAGCACGCCAGGGCTCCTGCTGCTCCCTGTCGTCTCCAGCTCTTGTCGTTGTCTGCCTTTGATTACAGCCACTCTAGTGGGTATGAGGCTCACTGTGGTTTTGATTTGCATTTCCCTGATGGCTGGTGATGCTAAGCATGTTTTCAGGTGCTTATTGGCCATTTGTCTGTCTGTTTTGGAGAAATGTCTATTCAAATCCTTTGCCCATTTTTGATTTGGGTTGTTTGTCTCTCGATTGTTAAGTTGTCCCACCAAGTCTACAAAGTTTTGGTAAATTGAGGCTCAGAAAGGGGATGTGACCTGGCCAAGAACACTGGGCTAACGAGCAGGTTGGTCTCCGCCTCCCACCCAGCAGGTCGGGGCCACTGTCTCCACCCAGGGGAGCAGCCTCCAGCCTCCAATTTTGACCTGCCTCCCAGACCACCCCAGGTCCTGTCCTTGCATTTAAAGGGGTAGGGCCCTGCAGCAGAAGGGTGGGCCGGAAAGGGGGGAAAGCAGTACTGAGGAACCAAGCCAGTCGTCTCTTGGAAAGGGGGGAAACAGCAGTACTGAGGAACCAAGCCAGTCGTCTCTTCCCCTCCGAATCACGCGGACCTGGCTGACGTGGCCCAGGCTGAGGGGACAGCCTGGGTCCTGTGGTCGGGAGCCTATTTATACTGGCTGGGCCGTGTTGCAAGCTTTTCCTGCTGGCAAGAGGGACGTCACTGGGTGCTGACCTCACCAGAAATGCTGACGCACCTTCCTCTCACACTTGGATCAGATGGGCAGCCGAGCCTCCTCACTTTGTGGCCACCCCCGTCCTCTCGCAAGTGTCTGCCCCCTCCCACCCACCTCTGGACTCTCCTCCGGTGTCCCTATTCCCTGCAGCCCTCCGACCGTGTCCTCCTCTTACAAGTGGTTATGGGCTGAAAGGTGTCCCTCAACTTCATATGTTGAAGATCAAACCCCCTCGAACCTCAAAATGGGGCTATATTTGCAGACAGAGCCTTTAAAGAGGTGATTAAGGTAAACTGAGGTCATTGGGGAGACCCTAATCCAGCATGAGTGGCGGTGTTATAAGAAGAGGAGATTAGGACGCGGACACAGACCCAGGGCCACCATGTGGGGAGACGAGAAGAAGGCAATCATCTACCAGCCAAGGAGAGAGGCCTCAGGATGAAACCGACCCTGCCGACACCTTGATCTCCGACTCCTAGCTCCAGGACTGCGAGAGAACACGTTGCTTAAGCCCCCAGTCTGTGCTATTTCGTTACAGCAGCCCGGGTGAACTCATACATAAGCTCTGCTTGCCTTCGGGGGCCCTGATCCCCGGGCTTGCACACGGCCCTCGAGGAGCCGAGCGCTCAGAGCATCGTCTCGGATTTGACAGCCCTGGTTTGGACGCCCTGCTCCTCTTAAATGTTCCCATGCACGGCAACCTCGTGTCTCTGGGCTCAGAGGCCTTTTTAAACGAGGAGACAGTACGGACCGTGGGGGAGACAAGGTGAAGGCACATGGCTGTCCCCCGAATGTGGACGTCGGTCAGGCATCACTGAGGGTCAGGAAGCTCTCCAGCCAGCCCTGGCTCTCCTGCCCGGAGCAGGCCCCGAGCCGCTCTGCACTTCAGTTGCCTCATTCAAGGGAGCCGAGGCATCCCTGCCGGCCGCCCTTCCTCCCCGGGCTGTTGCAAGATGAGGTCAGGGATGTGAAATGAAGAAGGATCCTGCTTGGCATGGGCCCCAGGAAGCAGCCTTGCGGGGGTGGGCACAGAGATGAGGAATTCAGCAGAAGCGACACTCTCTGGAGGAGAATCCAGAACTGGCCCTCAGGGGTGGTACTGGTGAGGTAAATTGAGCATGGCGCAGTAAGTGCCATGCCGGGGTGCCAGGGAGTCCGGGAGGGGGCGGAGGCGTAGCCTCCTGGGCATGGGGGTGTGTCTGGTTTTGTCCACTGCTGGCTCCTCAGCACCTGGGAGTGGCTGGCACAGAGTAGGGCCAAATAAAAGTTTGTTGACTGAATAAATGATTGATGGTGGCGTGTCTACAGAGGGACTAGCAGGTGAGTAGGGTCCAATAAAAGTTTGTTGAATGAACAAACGACTGATGGTGGGCATGTTTATAGAGGGAATAGCAGGTAACAGCCTTGGTGGTTGTGATTGGTGCCGGGGCAGAGATGCACATCTGGTCCTCCTCTTCCTGGTCACCTCCGCTTTCCTAGTCCAGGCTCCACAGACCCAAGGCTCTCCCCAGCTGAAGCAGCTCAGGCTCCCTGGCAGCCCCCTGGCGTCCCACCCTAGCTCCCCAGCCTTCCGGCACCCTCCTCCCTGCCAGGCTCCGGAGGGTATAGGCCAAGGATTCTCTTTCAGGCCTGGGCCAGCCCTCTGCTCCTTGTCTGCCCTTGCCCGGGCCTCAGTTTACTCCGCAAAGAAGCAGCAGGTTGCCTAAGGAGGCGCGGTCTCCAGGGCCTTTCATTCTGACGCTCAGAAGTCTGCAAGCAGGGGACCAGCCCACAATCACTATCTTTCAGAGAAAGTGAAACTTGGTCCCCAACCGTCATGGCAGTGACTCCCCCTCCCAGGCTTCCCCTCTGAGCTCACAGCTTCCCCATCTCCTCCACCCCCCACCCCGCCCCCCGACAGTTAGTACTTGGAACTAGACTTTCATCTTTCCTTTTTCCTTCAAAGAACTTTTGCCTTTTATGTCCATGACGGCAGCAGCGCCACGAGGTGGGCTGAGAAGTGCTTTTCTAATCCTCATTTTACAAGTGAGGCCCAGAGACATTACGTGACTCTGGTCACACAGTATGTCAGCAGGCTTGAATCCTGATCTGTTTCTCTTGCCCCAAGCACCCGGTTCTCCCCAAGGACTCTGTCTGTAGAGAAAGGGCCTGGCTGCGGGCCTGGGATGGGGAAGACCGGCTGTGTGTGGGGTGCATGGTGGAGGAAAGGAGATGGCCGGGAGCCCCACGGGGGGATGCAGGTCCTGGGGCCAGAAACACAATCTCAGGGCTGCCAGCCTGGGTCTGGCTCTGTGCCCAGAGCCCGGTGGTTTCCGCTCACAGATGTCCCAACAGCCCCGCGGGAGGGCGGGAAGGGGACCCAAGAAGGAAGATGTCTCGCTCCCTCAGCCCCAAACCACTGTGGCCTGTGAGGCCAATGGCTCCTGGGCTGAGACTGGCCGGCGGGCTCTCCAGGTGCCCAGTGGCAGCCTCTGCCCTCCATCCCGGGCATAGCCCTCCTGCAGATGGCATGGACCCCTCGCTCCCAGCTTACCCCAGGAAGGCTGAGGCTGCGGTTTGCATCATCCTTGGGCGTGGGGCTGACCTCGAAGAACGAATTCGAAGAAAACAGGAGGAGGAGCAGGCATGCCACCGCACCCAGCGCCCATTGGCCGCCTGTGGAAACTTTGGTTTTTGGGGTCATGTTCCCAGAAGGCCTGCCCTCCCCCTCCCCCCCCACCCACCTCACAAGGTGTTGGCCAATCGCCCCAGCGGGCATAAAGTGGCTGCCAGCCCGCAGGGCTCCCAGCCGGGAGGTGTCACCCCCGACCGGCACGGGCAAGAGCTCGAGCACCCAGCATGCGGGCACAGCTTACACAGAGGATGCTGCTCAGTAAGTACTTCCTTCCTCTCTGCTAGCACCAGCTTGCTGTGCCCACAGACGCCAGCGGGGAGCAGGGGCACCCTCTGTCCTCTAGGAGCTGGGGAGGCTGGGCACCAGATAGAAGGATGTCAAGAAGGGGAGAGAGCCAGGAGGTCAGGCAAAGAAAGGGGGCCACAGCAACTTTACAGGGTGGAAAACGGGTATCCCTGGAGGGCTTCCAAGGGGAGGTGATGTAGAGGCAACTCTGGGAGCCAGGGAGTGAGGGAAGGGGACGGATTAGGGGAGAGGCTGGGGAAGCAGGAGGGAGGTGGGAGATGTGCTGGGCAGAGCAGGAAGCTGCAGAAGCTGAGCGGGAAAATGGTGCAATGTCTGGAGGGGCTGCGAGGCCTCCTTCTGGCCTTGATTCGCAGGGTCTGGAATGGACAGATGCAGACAGGCTCAGGGCCCTGGAGCCCACGCAATCACACAGCACACATAGCCACACCCACAGGGTGACATGCACACAGAGTCCTGTGACATCATCCAGAGCCCTTAATCTCACCAACCTGAGAACCCCCATAGGCAGCCCGGGGTCTCCACGGTGGATGGAGCGCAACACCTGTGTGTGGCCAGCTACTCCCTTGAGCCTTGCACAGACCTGGGTGCCCACCCAGGCAGACACTCTAGTCCCAGGAGCACACTCACCCGGGCCCCCCGCCTAGGCCCAGCAGCAGATACCTGGGGAGGTGTCCACAGGTGCCCTGTGGTTGCTGCGCCTGGGCGCCCAGCCCCTCGGCTCTCCCCAGCAGCGTCTTCCCCAAGGGGCCAAACGGTTCTTAGGAAGGGAACATGGTGTCACTGCCTTCCGGGCCATTGCGCCACAGGCCCCTTCCGACCACGTGGCTGCCGGTGCCTGGCGGGTGGGGGTGGGGGGAGGCGGGTGAGCAGTAACTGTGCCAGCCCCCCAGAACGCTCTGACGGGCTCACCGCCTCCCTGGTGGGCCTGACAGAAGGGGCCCTTTATGGAGAGGGGAGGGAGGGGCATGAGAGTTCAGGGGACAGGCTGGCCTTGTGTGACCTGGCCAACCCTGCTCCTTCTGCACCTTGGTCTTCCTGTTGGTGAATTGGGGGCATGGACTGGATGCTCTCGCACATCCTTTCCAGATGGAAGCTTTGGATGGAAAGGCAGCCTCTTTTGGTTCCGCAGACGTAGCTCAGGGTGCCAGGCTGCTCCGGGGCGCCCAGCATGCAGCCTCTCCAGCCCACCTGCATGGAGGGCCAGCGTTTGTGATGGGAGCCCAGGGTCCTGTGGCAGTAGCGTCCCATAGTCCAGAGGTCTTTCGGAGAGCAGCCCCACATGGGCCGCCCCAGGTCAGCTCCTGAAGCTGCAGGAGTCCCAGGCGCAGAGTTCCTGTCTGGCGCCACAATCTCCAAGTCTTAAAGGCCACCTTGGTGAAGCGCAGCCACTGTCTCCAGTGCTGGACAGTGACTCTCTGGGGAGGTGGCAGCGGCCCGGCAGGCGCTCCGGTGCACACACAGTGCACAGCCCGCCCTTGGAGGCACAAGGCCCGGGAGGATGGGATGGGCTGCGACCTCCAAGGCCCTCTTGGGTGCCTCACCTCTGAAAGCCACCCCCCTGTGGTTTCCTTGTCCAGTCAGGTGATATCCCCTTCTCTGCCCCAGGTCTGGTCCTCGGACTCCTGTTTCTGAACACGGCGGCCATGGGCAGCTGCTCGGCCAACTACCAAGGGCTCCTCCAGCAGCTCCAGAGTCAGGCGGACTTGCTGCAGGACACCAGCCTACTCCTGGACCCTTATGTGAGCGCCTGGCCCCTGCTAGCATCTGAGTCTCAGACAACTTTGGGGTTAGAGCAGGAGTGAGCCCCAGAGAGGATCAGGCCCAACCCCCACTCACCCAACCCCAACTCAATATGGGGCGGGTGGGGAAACCGACTCCCTACGTTATTCCAGGGTCGACGTCGAATCTCAGGCCTAACCCTGAGACACCAAGGAGAGGATGCATCTTCCCTAGCTCAGTGGGTCTGGAGCACGAACCCCAACGCCACTGCCTCACATGTCCGTTTGTCCAGCACGCTCACTGCACGCCTACCAGGCGCCTTGTTCTAGGCCCTGGAGATGTAGGGGTGAGCGAGACGAGTCCCACCCTCCTGAAGCTCACGGCCACCTCCCCGCCAACACTCCCCCCACCATGATCACTGCCTGTGCGCTCCCCCCACCAGCTACACCATCCCTCTGGCCTTGCCTGCAGTGACCCGGGAGTCCTGTCCCCTCTCAGGCCTCAGTTTCCAGATCTGTACAATGGGAGGACTGGATGGGGGATGCAGAAGGTAGCCTTTCAAGGCTGACCAGAGCAGACTTGTCTGTGTGTGACGGGGGCTCCAGCTCACTCCCTGATTCTCCTTTCCCTCCAGATCCGCCTCCAAGGCCTGGACACGTCTGAACTGAGAAAACTCTGCAAAGAGCGCCCCGGGGCGTTCCCCAGCCAGGATGCCCTGTGGGAGCTCAGCAGGTGGGACCTCCTGCACACCCTCAATGCCACGCTGGGCCAGGCCTTGCACAGGTTGACCGCTTTACAGCAGGATTTCCCCAAAGCCCGGGACTGGCTAACGGTGACAATGAACATCCGTGGGTTCCAGAACAACATCCACTGCCTGTCCCAGCTGCTTCGTGCCTCCTCGGAGACGGCCAAGCCCACTCAGGCAAGCCCAGGGGCCTCGCCGCCCCCCATCCCTGCCTCAGACGCGTTCCAGCACAAGTTGGAGGGCTGCCAGTTCCTGAGCGGCTTCCACCGCCTCATGGGCTCAGCAGGCCAGGTCTTCCGGGAGTGGGGGAAGACCCCCCGCCGGAGCCGGAGACACAGCCCCCGCCGCCTGGCCCTGCGGAAGGGGCCTCGGGGGGTGCAACTCTTCAGGAGAGGCCGGAGACTCGTGCCCATGGGGCAGCTGCCCCGGTAGCCTTGGGGGCTCCCCTGGCAAGTGGAGGACCAGCAGGCACTCTCCAGGACTGCACCTCCCAGGGGCCTCCAAACCTGCTCCTCTCCATTCCCCACCTCTCAGAAGCACTTTAAGGGGTCTACCTCCTCCAGGCTGGGGGGATAGGGTCAGGCTATTGCACACCCCAGCCCTGAGTTCCCCGGTCCCGGTGGGACGGTCGGGTCAGGCCACGCGGGGCCAACTTTCCATTGATTCAGGGATCTGATGACACAGGCTGACTCATGGCCAGACTGACCCCTCCCCCGCTCCGCTCCCCAGAGGCCTGCCGGCCCTTCCCTCTCATGACTTGCAGGGCTGTTGCCCCCAGACTTCCTCCTTTCCGTGGTGGCGCGGTTCCAAGGGGAGGTCAGGACCCAAGCTGGCCTCCTGAGCCTCATCTCAGTCTCAGGCCAGACACCTGGATGTCTGGGGGACCTCACTTTAGGCAGCTGTGACAGAGGCAGTGCTCCTGGAAGGAGCACTGATCTGGGGGATGCAAGGAACCCAGCTTAGCCTCTCATTCGCTGTGTGGCCTCAGGTAGGCCACTTTACCTCTCTGAATCTCAGTTTTCTCTTTGTGAATCGAGGGGATTGGGGACAGTGTAAAGCATTCTCCACCTGTCAGTTGCTGGGACTTGGTGACATAGGGTGCATATCAAATTCTCTCCGTGAACTGGGACACACGGGGCAAATGGACAGGGGGTGCAGCCCAAGGTCTCTGTTCTTCCCAGCACCTAGAAGCTCCTGGTCTGGGGTCCTGGCTGCTCCCCCTGGTGGTACATCGTGGAATTTTCTCATGCTGAAACCATTGCCCTCCTGGAGAGGGTCCCAGAAGCTGCTGGGACGTTTCCTTGGAGGCACATGACTAATTTATCAATTTTTAATCTGTTTTCTATTTATAAGGCTTATTTATGATGTGTATTTAATCTTAATATTGTGCCAACATATATTTAAAACTTGCCTGGTTTCTAAAGCCCCTGTGTCTCTCTGTTGCCTTGGGGAGAGGATTTGGAGGAGCCTGGCCTCTTGGAGGGGGGGGGTCCCTACATGGCAAGGCCACAAGTGGCCACCACCTGAGAACTGGGCTGGAGGTCCCTGCCCTGTCCAGGAAGGGAAGTCGCACGTCCCGGTCAGCTGGGGGCTCTGACTGTGGGGGCGTCTCAAACACAGACAAGGCGTTCGTTGTGTCTGAACAGGTCTCATTGGGGACGCTGGGGACCAGGGTGTCGGAGTTGGGGAGGGAGTGAGGAGGAGGGAAGGCTGGAGTGTGTGCTTTGCTCTGGGCCCCTGTGGGTGTGGCCGGGGGGACGTGTGCTGGTGTGCGTTGTACGAAATGAGCTGGTTAATAACAGGTCCTGCCTCACACGTAGCCTGTGACCTGGTATGTGCTTGAACCTGCCTCCTGATGGGCCCCAGGGGGGTAGGGTTTCCATCTGGCCCCCTGAAAACTGGGCTCCCTCACGATGCTCAGGGCTCCTCCTCCGGAGGGACACTTACAGGCTGGTGATGTGCTGGGGCAGCCACTACAAAGGAAGGGCTGACAGAAGTGGATGAACTTGTCCCGGATCGGTCCCTGTGCACCCTCGCTTCCTGGGACTGGGTGCCAAGTTGGGAAAAGGACTTACCATCGGAGTGGAGGAGAGCCCCGTGCAGGATGCTCAGCAATAGATAGGATTCGCTCTGCAGGTGAGAAGACTGGGGCTCAGAGAGTTTGAGTCACCTGCCCATGCCCTCAGAGCAAATTTCCTGGGGGCATGCACAGTGTGAATTCAGGTCCCACAGGGACGGGGCATTTTTCTGTTACCCTTCAGCCTCTGGAACTCAGCCGACAATTTTCTGAGTCCCTAGTGGCACAGAGCTCCCAAGTGAGGGGGCAGACAGACAACAGACAAGCAACAACAAGAGAAGCATCTGAGATTGCAGTCAAGCAATGTAATAGAGCCTGAGGGCAGGCAACGGGGGAGCTCAGGGTGGCATCTGGATGAAGTGACATCCACCCTGCAGGCTGAATGACGTGCTGGAGAAGGGGTGGAGTCTCCAGGTGGTGGGAACAGCTAGGGCAAAGTCTCCGAGCATTCAAGGATCAGAGAATAGTGAGTGAGGGCATCGCTGATTTATCAAAAAGGCCCAGAGAGAGGAAGTGTCTTGCTCAAGGTCACAGAGCAAGTTAGTGCAGAGATGGGGCTAGAACTCCAGGCCCCTGACTCAAGGAGCAGTCTCCCTGGGCAGCTGCCCAATGTGGGTTCCAGGCTATTTACCAAGTACCTAGCAAGGGCTCTCCACTGCCCCCTACTGGGCTCTCCCTTGCTCTCAGGGCTCCTGCCACACTGGCCACCTTTTGGCTCTCAAAATGCCCAGGGCTCACTTACCACGAGGCCTTCACCTATGCTTTTCCATCTGTCTGGAATGCTATTCCCTGTCCTTTTGGTCAGTGCATCCTCAGCAATTCTTCCCCACTGCCTATGGTGTGGGTCCAGCAACTTGGTCATCAGTTCTCTCAAAACGGACCCACCAGGGGGGCCCTCACCCGGTGTGGCATTTGCATTACTGTCCGCCTCCTCCACTAGCCTGGAGCTGCCGAGGATGGAGACCGCACCTGCTTCCATCTGCTCTGTCCCAGCACCCAGCACAGCGCCTGCACCCAGTAGGAGCTCAATAAGGAGCAGGGCAGACGGGGCCCTGGAGGAAGTCAAGGCGCCGAGGAGTGTGCCAGGGAGCATGGCCTAGACAGGTGCCACCCAGGTGCGGCCAAGAGCCCAGCTCTTTTCTGCCGGGCCCAGCATGGGTGGGGGGCTTTCCTTGGGCTGGGCTGCTGGGAAGTTGTGGGTGGGAGGTGGCAGACACCAAAAGCCAGGCACGCTCGGGTTCCTGGAGCGGAAGGGGAGCTGACGCTGCGGCTGGCATGCGGCTGCCCACAGAGAGGGCAGAGGTTGGTCTGCGGAGGAAGAACTGGGAAGCCTGGGGTGGTTGCCCCCTCCCCTGCCTGGGCCCTTTGCCAGCCCCCACCCAGTGGATAAGCCGCAGGAGAGGTGTCTGGGACTGGCTTTGAGCTGGAGCAGCGCCCCCACCCCTGCCCTGAAGAAAGCTGATCAGGGAGCTCCAGACTCTGGGGCAGGGTCTCAGGGGTCCCTCTTGTGAGGACTTGTCACTGCCACACTGTGTCCTGATGAGACCACAGCTGTAGGTGCCCCCAAACCGCCGTCTCCCGCCTGGTCCTCCCCTGAGCCCACATCCACAGCCCCAGCTCTAGGAACATCTGCTGGGAGCCCCGTGAGCACCTCGAGGCTAAACTCACCCCCAGCCCCACATCCTTCTGCCTCCTGTTTACCCCCATGGCAGTCCCAGAGCCCCAGCCCACCCCTTCTCGCCCGTCAGCCTCTCTGCTCCTCATTGATCACAACGTCCCATAGTTTCTCCCACACCCCGTCTCTGGCACGTGCCTCCTCCTCTTTCGATCGCCAGCCAGGCCCTGGCTCCCTGGACATCGTCTAAAATCTCCCTATCGTCATCTCTTCTGCTCGCAAACCTTCAATGACTCCCTCCTGTCCTACTGCCCGTGGCATCAATTCCAAACTCCTCATCACAGCATGCCAGGCCCTGCCTGCTGGTCTCTGCATTCACTCCGGGCTCAGCTGGCCCCCATCCCACCCAGGCATCTGACCTCCCTGAGGCCTGCATCTCCCCCTTCCCACTCCTCCCACCTTCCCACCCTGACGCCTGGCTCAAGTGCCGCCTCCTTCCCGATGCTCCCACCCATGGGGCTTGTGGTTTCCCTGGTGCCACGGGAGGCTCACAGGGAGTCATTTCTGGACTCTGCACCCAGAGTCGGAACCGGCCCTCTCTGATCGCCCCATCCCCCCACAGCACCAACTGCTGTGAGATTGGGGTCCCCATGACCACCCGCTGTGACAGGTGCAGAACGGGGGCTCCAATCACGCTTTTGTGCCACTGTGCTGATTCCCCCACAAGACACGTTTCCCTGGAGTGGCGACACCCTGTGAGCCTGCAAACAGCGAATGCTCCGCCTCAACGGCCCATGTGAAGGGACAAAGTGGCCTCGGGCCAGGAGTGAGCTGGCACAGGCTCAGGAAGATAACGGGGTCCTGGCACGACCCTGCCATTGAAATAGACTCAAAGCCGGCTTTTCTTTTTCTTTTTTGAGTATTTCAGGGTGACAGGCACAGCCCTCAGTCAACGCTGCATGTAACACACACTGATGGAAAGTTCCCTAGGACAGGGGCCCAGAGGGCAGGAGAATGGCCAGGAGAAGGTTGGGGGTGGGGGTGGTTTCCAGCACTCACTGTCTACACAACAAACCCAAGGCTTGCACACAGCAGAGCAGGGTCTCCGGCCTCCACGTCCTTGCCCCCTCGCTGTCCACCTGTCTAAGGGGACCTTTTCCCTCTTTCTCGAGGGATGAGAACGAACTCAAGAGCTAAGCAAAATGAGCTCAAAGCCAGCCCTCCTGCCCTTAAGCTGCATAACCTCCAGCTGAGCCTCAGCTTCCCCCTCTGTACAATGGGCCCGCCTCCCGGGCGGTGACAGTGGTTTCCCAGGAGACAATGCAGACTCAGGCGCTCTGTCAGCGCTGTCATAAGCTGTCACTGGGCAGGTGCGTAGACAACCTTCTCTCCATTTCCTCTCTCTCATTTTCCCTTTTCCTTGTTGGTTTTCTTTCTTTACAGCTCTTCTCTCTTTGTCCTTGTCCCCCCTGCCACCCCGCCCTCCATGCCAGGCCTGGGACCCGGAGCGCCCACAGAGACCCTTTCCCACGCGGAGGGAGGGGTCACAGTCCACGGTCAGAGTGGGGAGGCCCTCGGCTGGGCCAGCCCGGCTCCCTGCTTCCCGGGCGGCCCCGAGGGCCGGGCTCAGGGAGGGGCGAAGGTCTCGGGGGAGGGGGTTGGGCAGATGGGGCCCTGGAGCCCGTGGGGGAGGGCAGACCTGACGGACCAGGAGCCTCCAGGGTTCTGAGGTGGGTGCCAGAGCAGGGAGTGGTGGCTTGGGGGGACACTGTGTCCGGGGGGCAGCTGCAGCCCTGTGATTCTTCCAGGGATGGGGACAAGGAGGCACAGCCCTGGTGCACACGGCCTGCGGCAGGTCTGAGTCAAAACACCTAAGGCCGACCCCGGCTGGTCATGCGGAGGGCTGCCCAGTCATCGCCTTATGCCGGCCTGGGTCACCCAGGCGGGCTGGGCGCGGCCCAGTCAGCCATGACTCAGGTCCCAGCGCCCTGGCCACACGGCACCGGGCAGGGGTGCCAGGTACCGGGACGCCCCCTCCCCACTCCTGGTCCCACCTCTCCCCTCGGCCACCCTGAAGCCCCTGCCCCGACCTGTGTCAGGTGCAATCTGGCCAGGGACCTGGGATTCTCTGCCCCTGTGGCGCCCAGCCCTTCAGCTGGGGGTGGGGGTGGGGGGGGTGGGGTGGAAGTGGGGGGAGCCTCAGGGCCACTCGGCCTGGACGGGAAGTCAAGTCGGGGGCGGGGTGAAGAGCCGCCTCCAGAGAAGATTCAGCAGGAGAGGGAAGCAGAGGGGGCCTGGCCCCGAAGTCGATGGTGTCCCACTGAAGACCCGGAAGACTCCCTGTGAGACTCCAGAGGGTCCGGCACGGGTGCAGACCACGGTAGGCTTCCCCAACGGGCAGGGCCGGGGGCAGATGCCAGCTCCCCAATTTATCTCCAGCACGGGTAAACGTCACCCCCTCCCTCATGTGTCGCGGAGCCCCTGGTGGCCCACACGGCTCCCCAGGCCTCAGTCTCCCCATCTGTGTAACGGGCATTGTAAGAGGTACCCTGCACATCTCTCTGAGGATGTTGAGGTGAAGGGAACAGACGAGATGTGAGGGTGTCGTGGGGACATATGAGGGGTTAAAGATCATGGAAGGGTTAAAGGGCAGAGGAGAGAGCACTGGATGAGGAGGCCGGAATCCTGGCTTTGTGTGATCAGAGGGGTGACCCCCGGGGGGGGGAGTGTC